GTTATAGTCACTAAAAGTTACTAATTCACATTTTTGTCTACCACTTTTCCAAGAGTAATATTAGTGGAATTTTTTCTAATAATAATAGAGGTAAAATAATAACATGGAGGGGAAAACACTAGAAAGTATTCCACTAATATTACTTCTTGAAAAATGATGGACAAAAATGTGACTTAATAACTTTTAGTGACGCTATAATTGTATCAAAATTTACATCATAGTCACTACTTCACACGAACTTTGAGTACAATTATAGTCACTAAAAGTTATAAAGTCATATTTTTATCCATGACATTTATATTAAGAATTAATTCCACTTTTGGTCCTACGAGTTTTATGTCATTTCCACATTTAGTCCACGTCTTTCACTTTGTCCACTTTTGATACTTGACTTATGTTTCTTGACCATTTGTTGTCCTTTTCCGGCGATTTTAACCACCGGAATAGTTGCCGGAAGGACCATATGTGGGCGAAAACACAATAGTCATGTACCAAAAGTGGTCAAGGTCAAAGACGTGGACCAATTGTGGAATTGGTGTGATACTCATAGGACCAAAAGTGGAATTTATTCTTTATTAATAACATTTTAGGAAAAAAAAACCTCAAAACACGACTACTAAAAAATTCATTTGAATTATTAGCTAATTATATCTTAAGCTATAATCCAATTCACACATCTATATATTATATCCTTTATCTTTAGAGGATTTTCCCTAAAATTATTAATAAAAAATAATGGACAAATATGTGACTATATTCACTATAATGTAACATTTCAATACAATTATAGTCACTAAAATTACTAGCTCTACTCATTTTTTGTGTGCTGCTTCTATTTTGATTATACATTTAGAATTATTTCTTATCTTTATCAAACTTAAATCTTAATTTTTTTTCTTCACAACTATATTTCAATAGATTTTGAATTTGTAATTAGTTATATTGAAATAATAATTTCCATCCACATTTAATGTTTTTTCTAATTTCTCTCTTGTTTCAAGCTTAAAAACTGCATTTTATAAAACGTTTGTTTAAATTGTGTTGAAGGAACGAAGGAAGACTACTTTACAAACAATCAAATTAGGTGGCATCTCAAACACAATTATAGAACGATAAAAGTTAGAGGGGTTTTTACCTAAATATTACTCCCTCCGTCCCACGATAAGGACAATTCGGTTTACGATGCTTGACCGACCATAACGCAAATAAATCCCTGCCTGCTCTCAAATTATTTTTTGAAAAAAAAATTACATATTTAGAAACTACATTAAAAGCTTTACAAAGTCACAAAAAACTGAACCAAATTTGATAAAAATTTGATATATAAAGTAAGAGATTAAGAGTGATTTGTATTGACCAAGTGAATAGTGTCTGGGACAATCCTAGCGGGACGGAGGGAGTACTTAAATAAAGACAATTTCCAAAAATGTGATCACTTTAACATTAGGACAAAAATGTGACTAATAAGGTCATATTCATGTCATTGCCAGAGTTTAATGTCACTGTCCAGTTTTTGTCACTGTCAAATGTCACTGTTGCCACCGTCGGTGTCACTATCGCCACCGCCCGTGTCACTGTAGCCATCGCCCGTGTCACTGTAGCCACCGCTCGTGTCACTGTAGCCACCGCCCATGTCACTGTAGCCACCGTCCGTGCCACTGTAGCAACCGCCCCTGTCACTGTAGCCACCGCCCCTGTCACTGTAGCCACCGCCCGGGTCACTGTAGCCACCGACCACCGGCCACCACCACTCTCCACCACCCCTCTCCGGCGCCCGGCCACACCAGGCCATCTAACACCCCACCCCTGTCACCCTTGCTGCCCAGTACAAACCGGAAACCGTCGCATCCCTAAACAGTGGCCCCACAAGCCCCTTACCCGACTCTGAGGGACGCACACCCCTCCCCTACCCTGCCACAGCATCCCAGCATCCTCTCCTCCCCAATTCAACCGCCGCACCAGTGCCGCTCCCGTGCCACCTTGTAGCCGCCATCGACGAGTGCAGATCTGGAAATTAATGTCGCCGCCACTCGTACGATGAAGCTTTAGACGAAAACCTAGCACCGAAGACAACCAGACTGTCTATTATCACACCATCCGAGACCAAAGCTTCCATGGATGAAGATTGCCGCAGTTCCGGGACAGAAAGAGAAGACAGTGTTGAATCTTGAGCGGTGGTGGTTCTGCGGCAAGGATGGAAGCAGAAGACCGGCGGCGGTGGTTCTGCAAGGAAGACGAAGCGAAGGCTGAAATTTCACGTTAGGTTCTCGATGGAGAGAAGGTGTTCGTTGAGATTAGGTCATATTTTTGTCAATTTTTAAATTAGTCATATTTTTGTCCTTCCAAAGTGTGGAGGTCATGTTTGTGCCATTATTTCAAAGTTAAAAGCGGCACACAACCAATAGAAAACACTCAATATTTTCTCATTAACGATTACATTTTACAAAACAATACATATTTCATATTTCCCCCGTTCTTAAATAAGTGCAACGGTCAACATTTCACATTTGTCGAGGCATAACTTTGACCATTAATATATATAACTCTCTATTAGTAAAAAAATTAAAAAAATCAGATTTTGAAAATTTACAATGAGACAAAGTTAGTAATATTTTTTTCAAAAAAATATATTAATACATCAATAAATAAAATGTAGTCAAAGTAGAACTTGTGAATAGTGTAAAATTTAGAATGTTGCACTTATTTAAGAACAGAGTTAGTATTAGTCATCAATTTCAAAGTTTCCCACTATGATTTTATCACAATAAGGGGATGACTAAAATATCACTATTATAATAGTTGAAAGACCAAAAGTGTCAATTTTATGACAGTCGGGGGACTAAATATGAAAATTTTCAAAAACGAATGTCAAAAGTGGGAAAAGTTAAAGTCAAATGCTAAAAGTGTCAATAACATAATAGTCCAAGGACTGAAAATGACAATACTCACTTTTCATGATACAATGTAACTTCAAGAAGTATTAAAAACTCTGTCATGAGATCATTTTGGTATCATGCATGTCCCAAGCCAGGGTGAAGAAGGATGGTGATGTGGTAGGCGTGTGGCAGCCAACAATATCACATAGTCACATCACATGACACGAATCGACACATGAATATTGTTATACCTAAGTCCTCACCCATAAGCGACGCGTCATCCCTCCGCCTGGGGTGATGTCAAATGTGCAAGGGCGCGCTACACTTCACAGCCCTAAGTGTGGTGATAAGAATGCTAATGTTGGTAGGTTGTCGTCCGGAAGCGATGTGCCACTCCAATGCCTCTGGATGGTGTCAAATATGTCTGTGGTTGAGCAAAGACTTCAAAAAAGTATGAAGGTTTCAGAGAATTAGTTTGGTTTTATGCTTGGACGCTCAACAACTGAGGTCATTCACCTTCTTAGACAAGTTGTGGAAAAGTATAAAGATACGAAAAAGGATCTACATTTGATATCATTGACTTAAAAAAAGGCATATGATAGGGTACCTCGAGAAGTCCTTTGGTGGGCCTTAACTAGAAAAGACGTATCACGTAAGTATATCAGTATCATTATGGATATGTATGAGGCTTGTACTACAAGTGTCCGTAATAGTGTAGGAAGGACTGTGGAGTTCCCTATTGCTATCGGTGTGCACCAAGATTGGATTTGAGTCCTTTCTTACTAGCTAGTCATGGATGAACTTATGAAGTCAATTCAAGAAGATATATTGTGGTGCATGATGTTTGCCGACGATATTGCATTGACTGATGAGACACAATCGGGTGTTAAAGCAAAGTTTGATGACAAACATTGGAGACCAAGGATTTTGGACTAAGCTGAATCACGACTGAGTATATGGAGTGCACGTTTGGTGGAGGTAAAAGTAGTAGTAACAGTGGGATTACTCTTGATGGTAAAGAGATACCGATGTGTGATATGCTCTGTTACTTGAGCTTCATGATTCAGAAAGATGGTGAATTAGATGTATTTCATAGAATTAGAGCTGAGTGGATGAAATGCAAGAGTGCATCAAAATTTCTATGCGATCAAGGTATACCGATTAGACTGAAGAATAACTTTTATTGAACATCAATTGAGCTTGCATTAATGTAAGGCGAAGAGTGTTAGGTTGCGAAACAATGTCACATTCAAAGATGAGTAGTGTGGCAGAGATGTGTATGTTGAATTGAATGTGTGTACATATTAGAAAAGACCGCTTAAGGGATGAGATAATCAGACAAAGGTGAGAGTACCACCTATAGAAGATAAGATGCAGGAGTCTCATGTGTGATAGTTTGGTCATCTGTATAGAAGACCGAGTGATGCACATATTAGACGACTTGAGAGGTGGGGATAAGAGACAAGGAGGAGAGGGAGAGGAAGACCCAAACAGATTTGAATTAGAGGAATTGGAATTGATATGTGTCTTCTTGGGTTGGATGAGAGTGTGACTTTGGAGAGGCCTAGCCTCCTGGGACGATTTTTATCTGCGTTTTTACGTTGTTTACTTCAAGAACCTGGAATTCTTTGTAAGTTCAATTCTTTTAATTAATAACAATTTATTATATTCATTCCAATTCTTTTGATTCGTCAATTATGAGGCGTGAGTAGTTTAATTAGAGATTTGGGGGTTGATGAAAGGGTTGATCATGATGTATGGCTTGTGGACGAATGAACTCTTTTTTATCTTTCCTCTCTCGTTTTCTTTTATAGTTTATCTACATTTTCTTTTTATGTACTAATGTTATTTTTATCTTCTATCTTTTTTATGCTCTTTTATCTTTTTATCTTTTATCTTTCTTATATTCTTATGTAACTGTTATCTTATATTTATCTTTATCATATACTACTATATTGTATCCCTTATTTTTCTTCTCTTTTTAGCATTGACATCATGGATCGATTCATATTAATAGGACCCCGAATCTTTTTGGATTAAGGCCTGGATGTTGTTGTACACAAGAATATTAAATATGAAATAGAATTTTAATTTTCAACAGCCATAACGGAAATATAATTTTCAAGAAAATGAAACTTTGAATCTTTTATGATAAAATTAAAATATAATGAATAGAATATGTTCGAGTGTGATGACGGTTGTTAAGCTAATAATTCTAATAAATTTTCTAAACCAAAAGTCCAAAACTTACGTCCAAGAAACTGTTCTAGCATTCTTGTCGAAACGCTTTTAATGTGAGAAATGAAATAAAAAAGCGATCCTACATAGTACATACTATCGTACAAAGAAAGAAAGAAAAATACATGCTCCAAAACACGTGCTCAGCAGCCATAATTCCCATGAATAATCTCGTAAACCAGCCTGTTCTTTCTATGGAGACATGTGAATGAGAAGCAGTTTATGGATGGGCACATGATATAAGCAACACTAGAAGACGTATTCATCTGGGGGGGCTTCTTCTGGGATCTGAAAAGGGAAAAATTGCAGTAAATACTAAGGTGCATTCAAGAGCACACTAATCAATGACAATAAATTCTCTTTTCCTCAATTTTGTTTTAGGTAGTTGGGAGTGGGGGTAGTTGGGGCATTTAAAGATTGAAGTATAAACTTATCTTTGAATAAAATCATGCTAAATGGCTAGAAGCCTAGAACAATCGGATCCTATTTTTAGACAAAAAAAAGGGCATTGTTAATAAAAAGGTAAATTGCTTTGGGTAAGAGCAATATGTTTCTGTATTTCACAAATAAAACCCATCTCAATTATTCTCTTTTTAGGAGTAAAACTTACAAAACGTGAGTACATGACTATATTACTCTGGCGAAAACCTCCATGACTTTTTAAACGTTGTAAACTTGGTTAGGGCAGAGTATTTGTAGATTAATGACGTGTACCGGAAGTACTTGTACAGTAACTATAGAGTCATTTTTGAGTGAAGGTGACTATACCCACGAATTGCAAAAATGTTGACGAAAAAAAGTTAACCTCCTTTTGAGGACTCATATACTTCTGAAAAAAGGAAGAATGTAGAAGTACTTCTATATGAGGAGAAAATTGATTACATGTTGCTCTTACATAAGGCGGTTTCCCATTTAAAAAACATTACATGTAATGTTGGCCGTTGCTAACCTCCGAAAAAACCTCAAGATTAAACTAATATGCGCTTACTAACCTTAAACGTATGTGTAGATTTTAGGAGGTAAATGACTGTTAATTACTACCTCCGTCCCCCTAAGTTTGGGACAAAGGAGTGTGGTGTGGTTCTTAAGAAAAAGTAGAATTGTGTGGTTGGTATTGAATTGGTAAAGTGTGAATAAAGTAAGAATGATTTATAACCACTCAAATATTTCCTAATATGGTATGAGACAAACTTAATGGGACGGACGAAAAAGGTAAAACGGGACAAAGTTAGGGGGACGGAGGGAGTATAAGTTATGAAACCCATATGAGCAACAATCTGTCTAAAGACTCTAAACAACTACTGTTGGTCTGTGACTGTGAGGCGTTATCATATGCACTTTGCTTGGAATGTATTTGACGTGTGAGGATGCCTTGAAAGTAATTAAGGTTTTAAGTAATGAAGGCAAAGACCTTGAAATTTTACACGATGCAATGTACAGTAAACCATACCTCTCCAATCTTCCATTCCTTACCCCAAATGCTATCTTTTAGATCAGCAGGTACAGGTACCTTCGGGTTCCTTTTAAAAGGAAAGTTCAAACAGTTAGAGCCCTGAAGCAGATATAAAGCTATAACAATGAAGACATACAGCTCCCTTGGAGAAAAAAAAAAACCAACACTCCTAAATCCTTCTTTTCACGTGGGTGTTTCATAAATTCAACTTTCTTGCATTATACTTTGTACTTTTACAACCTTTAGGGTATGTTTGGTTCAAGGTAATCACCTATGCAGGCTGGAATCTCATGCCGGGAATCTAAAATATCCGTGTTTGGTTCGTAGGTTTATTTTTATGGGGGAAATGTCACATTCCAAAAAAGAAGAGAAAGTAATAGGATGCCCCTTCATCTCAAACCCACTCAACTCTTAGGTTATCTTACATTCCTTGGTGGGAGTGAATTTTATTCCAAAAATACTCATTCTCATTTAACCAAAATGGTTTAAATAGCATACATAGTATTTATTTTTTATTTTTCTTAATCCATCCTCATTGGAATTTTTTTAAACAAACCCATCCGTATTGGATTAAGAAATACAAAATGTATACTTTTGAATTTGATTTATTAAAAATTAATGAAATAATTACATATTTATGACTAAAATAAAGATTGTTTACAAAAATGTGAGTAGTGACTACAGTAGTAATTTAATCATAATAACTTATATTGAACTTTTAAACTTCAATGATCATGATAACTTAATATATGAGGAGGTGGTGTTATTATTAAGAATAAAGGAGTTAATGTGGTTGATAATGAATTAATAAATTTAGAATAAAGTAAGAATGATTTAGAAGGATCAAACATTAAATTTTTTTCACTAGTGGTTGATAGTGAATTACCTTTAGTAGGAGTAAAATATAACATGCAACTTTTCCTTAAATAGGAGTCAATATCTAATATTTCCTAAGTAGGATCAACCATTAATTTTCTACCCCTAATTTAATTAATTAATTGCCCCCTAAGTCCTTGAATAATCAGGTCATTCTATTGGTGACATGTGGTCCATTGATTTTTTGATCGATGAAAAACGTAGGCTCCTATCGATGAAGACATTCTTTCTCGGGACCCCGACGATTGTAATAAGGGTATTACGAGAAAATATTTTTAAGGGAATTGAAGTAATTCACCAAGTTTGTTGTATATTGTATAATATATGATTTAACCAAACAAATTAATGTCACATTCCTTTAGTCCCAACCAAACACAAATGGGTACAAATTGAATACATTCTCATCAATCTAACATACCCAGCAATCTGACATTCCCATGGTAATCTGACATTCCTTGAACCAAACATACCCTTAGAGGCAAATGTTCCTATATCTAAAACACATCACTCATCTATAACAATGGGAATATATTATAAGGATGGATCAATTGAATTCGGAACCACTCTGTATATTCAGGCCTGTTTGAACAAATGAAACGGGAGTATGAATGATCATCAATCTTCACCATATACCCCCTCCGTCCCATAAAATTCTTCCCACTTACCATTTTGGGATGCCCCAAAACGTTCTTCCCATATCCCTATTTGTAAAGTTTTGTGTGGCTAACATTCATTTACCTTTTTCTTACTCAATCACAATCATACATTTCCACTTTATTACTACTTTCTTAAATTCCGATCCAAGTCAAACTGGGGAGAAATTTATGGGACGGAGGGAGTATTTTAAAGAGATCTTCATCCAGACTCTTTCCATTTGGTCTCAAGGAATTCTCAAGAGCATTATTTAAAAATGATCAGGCTATCTAGAACAAAGTACAACAAATTAGGTATGGGTTCAAATCAAATTGTTAGCATACCTGTTCTTTACAGTGTACTTCTCTTAACATACAATCAAATCCTCCCAAATGTCCTCTCAAAGTCTCAGTCCCTCATCTATGCAACTAGGTCAAACATTTACTGCACCCCCAAGTCACGTTACAGTAATATATTGTAAATTCTAAATTTTTGTTTGTGATTCTTTTATACACAGTTTTTTTTTTTGAAAATCACATAAAAATCCAGCTTTATTTTAACAAGCAGGACTGATTATTATTCTGGGACAAAAAATGGTAATGCTTAGATTGTATATTAGACTTGATTCTTCAGTCTCATGTAATAGAAGTAATAGTTTGTTGAGCTTACACTAATCCAGCATTGCCAAGCGATTGCTCACTAGTTAGGCCATTGTTTAAGGTTGCAGAACTGGAGGTGAAGGGGCTACGAACTGACGGAGCACCAAACTGACTTCCAAATGCGCCTAGAACAAAAGCCAGTAAAAATAACTTTAATTAAAGTACAGGCAAAAATGTGTAATGCTACAAAAAAATATTATTATATGGCACCTGCATTTCCGAAAGACATCTGAGGGAAGGGATTTGACTGCTGCAGAGTGTTATTTGGAGGAACTGATTGCCTTGTGTTTGGAAGAGAAAGAAAACAAAGTCATCATCCGTCAAAGCCAAGCTTTAAAACAGTATGAATACAACACTAACATTTTACATAATAAATGAAACAATTCTAACCCTGAGTTTAATAATGCACCTAGCTGACCAAAGCTTGAGGCAGATGGAGGACTCATTGCACCTAGCTGACTAAAACTTGAGGCAGATGGAGGACTTAATGCACCTAGCTGACCAAAACTTGAGGCAGATGGAGGACTATGAGCACTTGTTGGAGCATTTTGACTAGGCCCAAATAAAGAACTCTGAGAGCCAAACATTGAATTTGACGGAGCTGGACTATTATTACGCACTAAGCACTCTAATTCAGCTAGCTTGGATCTAATTAGACCTCTCTCCCTTTCAACCTGCATTAATTGGGCATTGAACACAGTCAGAATCAAGTGCATGAAGTTTTGTATTCTTCGCTGTCAGTTTTGATCTATCTATTACGTTTGACAAGATCGGGGGATGAGATAAGGGGATTGAGAAGGAATAGCAAATAGAGAGGCAAATAAGAGTAATAAAAGCCTCTTCCCCTGTTTTCTTTGTGTTTCTTTCAGGCTCAGTTTGCTTGTTGTAATAAGGTCAGAGAAGATGAATGATTCCAACTCTTTGACCTGTCAGTTATGTTTATTTGATTGAATTCATGGTTCCTTGCAATTGGTGTTCCATATTGTTCAGCATCCCACATGACTGTCTATTGGGTTTGAATCTAATGTGGGTACACTTCTCTTGGGGATTCTTTTGGGGTGAGTTAGGCCCAATTTATCACATTCATTACCTATCCCTTGGACTCATGGAAGAAATGTGATTCTAATATCTTTTACAATCACATTATTTTGATTAAACAATGACACTGCCCTCGATCTTCCTTATTATCATGTCCACAATGTCAGGGCACTGAATGAAGCCTTTACATTCTTTATGCAAATTTTGGAAACAAAATATCCCAAAAGAAGGTTCCTATGGTACTATAAGTATATAGTTTATACAAAGAAAGAGAGAAGAGCAAGTAGGGAGGTGTGAACATCTTACAATTGATTGCAAGTTCGCACCACGTCTAGCATCTTCATATGCTGCTAACCGTAGTTCTTCGTAGCTAATATCACCCGCAACATCACAGGGACCACTGCATTTGAATTTAAGACATTCTAAGTTAAATGCAAAATTTCAGGATCCTTCCTGTCATTAATCGGTTATGTGGACCATAAGGAAACTAAATATTATAGCAAATTGACAAATGTCTTAAGTATGTTTTTAGTCCCTACGTAAATAGTAGCTTTTATTACAGGTCCCTGCAAAATTACTACATATTAAATGCCTCATCGACTCTCTAGCTATATCCTTTTAACAATCAAACCGACATGGCTACATTTAAAACGTAGCCCTATGTCTGCTAATAGCCTCTAAAAAGTTGTAAAAGGTCGATGTGAAAAGTTTGGAAGAATTATTCTGAGTAAAATATATACATTTTAAAATAGTTTTTAAAAATGAGATTTTCCCAAAGAGGAGGTCACAAGTTCGAGTCCAATCCCAATCAAAGATGTTGGCATTGACTTGAGCATATACTATAATAGGTTTAGAACGATATGCAAAAAAAAAAAAGAGATTGTCCAAGATTCATATATGGACTAAAAGTACTCCTTAACATGTACTTCAGACATGAAAAACAAGAAAATATTTTGCAAGGATCTAAACCTAAAACAGTTTTAAACCTTAATTAACTGCTTAAATCAAGTAAACTCGGAGCTTCACGGCTTCCTATCATAGAATACATTAGTAGAGGCTTTGTGGCTACACATTCGGAACTATTTCCATCTCGCAACTAACTTGTCAAAGATGTGTTTCTAATTTTTTTAGGTTTCCATATAAACCACCTCTTTCAGGAGGAACCCAGGAACCCAGTAAGTGGGTGAGTGAGCTAGAAAAAACATATGATGAGAATTACGTATCACTAAAACATACTCCCTTTGTCCCATTTTACATGTCCTACTTTCCTTTTTGGGTTGCCCCAAAATAAGTGTCACATTTTCTTTTTTGAAAAGAAATATGTGGTCTACATCACTTCACTTTATTATACTCAAATCTCAACCACAACTTTTACTTTTCCAACCACTTTATTAATAATTGTGTCAAACCAAAGTAGGACACATAAAATGGGATGGAGGTAGTACCTTTTTAGGTGACCATAGCTGGTAAGGATCCAAAGAGGCTTCTCATTTTGAAAATCTTCAATGATTTGACGTTTGCAAGACTCTTGATCTGTGCATCTTCGAATTTGGAACGACAAAATCCATCAGTTCACACAAGCTGTTATCACATGAAACAACAAAGATGGACATAATCATAGAAGCTGGTGTGGAGAAGTACAAGAAATAAGTTCCTAAACACTTCACTCACATATGATTAGGTGCTGTCTGCTGACTGTCCTGTTGACGTGTAGGGGGGGTACTAGCATTGGCAGATGAACGTGTCCACTTATTTTCAAATGGCTAGTTGGAGGAAAATGGACAAAATTAGCTTAAGGACCATGAATCCACTTGCATCATGGAAAGGCAAAACACAACTTAATGATTACAAGGTGGATATACAATTAAAAAGTCACAGAGACGTTTAGTGGTTAACATAAGCATAACAGTATTATTCTCATATCAACAGAAACAGTGTTGTATACTATGAGATGCATAAACCACATTAAGATTTACAGTTTAATAATCAGTAAAGGTAATGCCAACATATTGATCTATAACATATACTCCCTAATTAGTAAAGCTTTGTTTTTTGTTTTTGATCACGTAAAATTTATTTCCAAGACTTGTGGAAATTGACTAAAACTGCTCACTGCTTGGCTTTACAGAAACATTACTAATACTTAAAGTTCAACTTTTAAACCCATATTTTTTGGGGGACAAAAGAAGTTCTTGAAACATGACACTTTTTAGGACGAATGGAGTAAGTCAGTAAGAGATTCAGAAATTCAGGTCAAAGATCTGGGTCAGTTAATTAAAACTATTGCATATCAAGTATAAGAACCTTGTTCTGATTTGATTTCAATCCAATACCAACTTCTCTTGACTGATAGTTACTCTGAACACCAAACCCAAAAGGATTGGGACTCTGCTGCTGCTGAAAATTCGACCTTTGATATTGTGCGCTATTTTGGCTCCCGAATCCAAACACATTTGGTTTGGACTGTTGTTGGGAAGCATGAAGAAATTTGCAACGATCACCATAACGACAGCTTCACAGAAAGGTTAGGGATCAGAAATTGCTGATGCAAAGCAACAGTAAGTAGTTTTTTTACAAACATGTAAGACACAGACTAGTTTGAAAAGTGAACTGCTAACAATATCTAGACAGATACAACAAGCTGGAATGAAATTGTTGTAGTTCAAAGAGAAGTCTTTTAGGAGTTTCCTTTTCTGACTCTAATCGGGGCATTATTAACAACCAGAAAGAAAAAAATAGTGATTTTATCAAGGGCCATCGTTTCGCTATTCAGATATAAACGACACACCTTCCACGGATGAAATTCCGGCACGGCTCACTCTTTGGAGGCATTTGAAGCTGACGAGGTTTTGGCCGTAGAAGGATGATTGTATAGAGAAGAAAGACGCCGGTTTTTTGTCCGGCGCCCCGAGTCGCCTGGGTCTTTCTTACTCCGGAAGTCGGTATTATGTAGCGTATGAATTTCTGTGTGATTCCTAGATTTTTTTCTTCACTTGTGTCTCATAAAAAACTTCCCATATGCTGGAAGAAATTAATTAATGAGATCTAGATATTCTTCTTTTTTTCGTAATAAACTTTATTGAATGTATTTATAGAGGACCAATTCAGCCTGGTTTATATTAGTTGGATTTGGCGATGAGTCATTAAACATATTTTGCTGATAATATCAAACATATTCGACCGTCTATCTATTACTCGCCCTCAGTTCTTTTTTATTAGTCCCCTTAGGGTAAATGATAAAGTAGAAAAAATAGTATATTAAAAAGAGTAAAGTGATGATAAAGTAGGAAAAAGAGTGTGTTAAGAAGAGTAAAGTGATGGTAAATTATGAAAGAGAAAGTAGTTTGTAAAAAGCAAGTGGAATAAAAGTAATAAAAGTGAGGGTATTTTCTCAAAAACTTTCCTTAAAAGTAAAGGAGATAAATAAAAAAAAACGTCCCAAAAAGGAAAAAGGACTAATAGAAAATAACCGAGGGAGTACTAAGTACAAGAATAAATTAGATTGATGTTCCGATTAGAAAGATTGTAGGAGTGGATCCAAAACAAGAACCAATAATTCATACTTTGTTGCAACAATATAAAACTTTTATCATTTTTCCCTTTTTCCTTTTAGTAGTTGATGGACAATCTACCCGGGGGGTATCCTATCCGAGGGGTTATTGCGGGAATAACTAGAGAGAAGTCAGAGCAAAATAGGAGGAGAGAGAGTCGATTTTATTAAATGAACTCAGCGTGTGTAATCGGGATGTCGATTATGTTTTACAAGGAGATATGGGCTGCTATTTATAGCAGCAATAAATGCGATGAGGGGACACGTGTCAGTAATCCAACGGCCGAAGGGTCACATCAGCCTGGTGGCACCGGCAGTGGTACGTTTACCGCATTGAATGCGGTTGGCGGATGTGACGTGGCATTAAATGCGGTGGTTGGCTGTCCCCAAAAGGAATCTTCGATGATTGAGCATGCTTGGCCGAAGGCTTCTTGCGTAGCCGAGGGCTCCGTGTAACCAAGGACCCCCGTGTACTCGAAGGCCCCGAGTGGCAGAGGGCTACGTTCACCGAAGGCTCCCCAAATGCCGAGGGCTTGGTAATGCCGAAGGCTCATGTTTTTCGCCGTTTTCTCCCAGTAGCTTCGTATGTCAGAGAGGGCTACTTCGTGAGTTTCTGGAGCCTTCGGCCAGGGAGGCCGAAGGCACCCCGGTATGTATTCCGGGCTATTTTGGGGCCTGGGCCGTTGCTTTTGGGCCTGAGTTGTCCTCTGGGCTTTTCGGGTATGTGTAGCAGAAGTAGGAGTCTATGGGCCGGGGGTTCCCGGGCCATATACTCCATCAGGAGTCCCTCACTCCTTTTGCCGAAAGGTACTTGAGGGAAAAGGAGTAGATGTGTTGATTCTTCCGGGGCTTCATCGCCCGTCTGGGTGCCTTTGTTTGGGAACTTGCCTTCTGTTGATTGCCGAAGGCTTCCCTCAGTCCCTCACATGTCGAGGGTTTTCTGAGGGAAGGTATTCGTAACCTTCGCGTGTTCGCCGGGGGCTTCCCTCAGTCCCTCACACGTCGAGGGTTTTCTGAGGAAAGCATAGATGTACTGTCTGCATGTATTGTGATGAGGGGTTGTACTGTGATGTTTGCCCGGAGGCCGTATGCGTCAATTGTAAATTGTTGCATGAAGAAATTTTTGTTGTGTATGATTCCCGAGGGGTGTATCCCAGTCCCCCACTCCTTTAGGCCGAAGGCAAGTTCGGGCTGAAGGAGTCACGTTGTGTTGATGAGTTCCCGAGGGGTGATGAAGGCTTATGCTGCTACGGCTCGAAGGCGTTTGGTGGAATTCGCTGTCCGAAGGCTGCGGTGAGTGTTAGCCGGAGGCTGCAAAGATGAGCTCGCCTCAAGTTTCCAAAATAGAGCCGTTGGAATAGAGCCGTTGGAGAGGGGTTCCACGTGTCAAGTTTTTGGTGGCTGAGAGTGGGCGGATGGCACCTATTGGTCAAACTGGCGGCATGTAATGATGGCTTTTCAAACGGAGGCCCATACATCGAGGCCCAAAAGCCTATAAATACCCAAGGCCAGAGTCATTTGTTCTGTGCGTTCCTTAAGCTATAGCGAAGCTCTGCCAAATTTTCTAGAGAGATAAACTCCCGCCCTCGATCAGACTAATCTTTCTGAGGTCAGTTCTTCCTTTGTTCTTCGTGGCCTTAGTATATTTTGCTTTTCTTTCCTTGATTAAGTGTTAAAACCAATTTAGAGCCCTCGGTTAGGATCTCTTCCCTGCCTATCTTCATGTCTTCTGCGAGTGATTCCCAAGATATCTCGAGGGACCTCTCGGTCCAAACCGAAAGCATTTCCGACGTGGTGTCTTCGAGCGAACAGCCCTCGACAACTAACGACCTGGCCGTAGCTGAGGAAGTGCAGAGCCGCCTCCTGGTGGAGATGGAAGCTGAAGATTTCGAGCAAGTAATCGAAGACGAGGAGATGGCCATTGCGGTCCAAGTTGCCCAGGAGGCGGAGGAGAGTGAAAGGCAGAGGGTTACCGTTGCTATGCTTCCCCCTCGGAGAACTGGTGAGGCGAGTAGCTCCCGGCCCTTGGATCCGGAGCCTCTTAGCGTTGCCCCCGGAAAGAAGAAGAAGAAACTGAGGGCCGCTCCAAAGAAGAAGCAAGCGGCCGTGGACGCCGGGCAGCCGGTTGGGATCCCTGAGGGGCATTCATATTTGGACACCACGGCCCTTGAGGTGAAGACCACGGCGTCGGGCGCCGAATGCTTAGCCCTCCAAGTCCTCGTAGGGCCGTCGGCACAAGTAGTAGAACCGGGGCCTGACGACTTGCTATCCCATCCCCCCGAAGGGTGCTTCTCGGTGCATATGCTGTCGGTGGAGTTGGGCCTTAGATTCCCACTCCACCCCTTCGTCGTTGAATACCTGAGGTTTGTTAAATTGGCTCCCTGTCAACTTACACCGAACAGTCATTATTACCTGGCGGGATTCCTGGCCCTCTGCCGCAGCCGTGGGGTGACTGCTACGTTAGACCAGTTCTTCGTATCCTTCAATCTTTGTCGGGGAGGGCACTCGCACGCTGGGGGGTATGCCAACTTGCAGCAGGTTCCGGCATGGAAACTCTTCTCCGAGACCCCCTCCTCCCACAAAGAATGGAAGGAGAAATTCTGTTATATTCGGATTGCCGAAAATCCATTCCCGGGGGCCTTGCGTAACCACTTCAAGAGGCATCCGAAGGTGGGTAATGCAGCTCTCGATAAGGCGGGGAGGAAGCTCACTAAGAAGCCCGAAGGATCCAACCAAGTGATCACGATTAAGGAGGCGGCATCACCTGAGGAGTTGTACCTGCTGGGTTTCCGGCGATATCGCCTTCCGGGGGACGAAGACGAAAAATATCCTTTGATCGACCGGGGATATCAAAACGCCGAAGGTTGTAGCCGGGGGCTGTCTGTTACTGGTACTTAGGATTATTTTTCCTTGATTAGCCCTGATTCTAACCCTTCTTTGTCTTTTGCAGGTGATATTATGGATGTGCAAGCCTTCGCGCGATTATCAAAAAAGCTGTCGAAGGCACCGAAGAAGAAGAAGGAGGAAGGGGGACCCTCGAACCAACTCTTCGTCGACGATGTTCTCAAGAAGGCTGGGGCCTCCAAAACTCCGGAAACTAAGGAACCCCCCAAGGAGGTTGCTGCTGGTGACACCGGTGTTGGTGCCGGAGGCTCCCAAGCCGGGGAGCTTAAGAGAAAAAACACCGGGAAGGGCTCCAAGCCTCCGGTGACTAAGAAGCAGAGGGGGGCCGATGAAGGTAAGGGTGCCCCCCTAGTGATCCTTGAAGAGCCCTCCCCCTCTCATCTGGTGGACCTTGACGAGGGGGCCTGGCCGCAAGAGACGGTGCGGTTCTCCTTTAAGAAGGGGACTGCCATCGTGCACGGCACCCTCGATCCGAGGGAATATCTGAAGGGTGCCACTCCCCCTTTGGATTGCTCGACCCTCGGTAAGTTCGAGGACGAAGCCCTCGAGCGAAGAGCACTCGAGGCCTCGGTCACTGTAAGTCCCTTCCCCTCGCTTAAGCTCATGCTTTGTTTTCTCATATTTTCTGCTTGCATGGTTTGACCTTGAATGCCCTCCCTTTGCTTACAGGCAAGCCTGGCCTTCGGAGAGTATGTCCGGAGGATGGAACAGGTGCGTTTGGACAAGGCAAAAAATGATGCTGCCCTGGAGAAACTCATCAGGGACCATTCTGAGGCCATCAGGTGTTGCGCCGAGCTGGAGCTGGCCCTTAAGCAGTCGGGGGAGAAGCTCAAAGAGGCAGAGGAGAAGGCCCGAGCCGAGGGCAAGGCTGAAGCTGAGAAGGCGGCTGCTGAGGCCTCAATGAAAGCCGCCGAGGAAGCGGCAAAGGCCCAGTCCGAGGCCGTCTCCAAAGCCGAGAAAGATGCCGTTGCCGCCTTCCAATCCGAGGGGTGGAAAGCAGATGACTTAGAACCGTGGAGGGCCTCGGTGGTGGAGTCTTCAGTGGATGCTTGGGTGAAGGGCCCCGGTGCTGAGTGGATGGCCCTGAAGGGTAAAGATTACTTTGACGGGGGCGAGTTCTTCACTCAGCGTCTCATCTACCGGAAGCTGTCGGAGCACTTCAAAATCCCCAAGGACCAGTTCGACCCTTCGGCATATGGCCTCCCCCCTCAGCAGCCTGATGTCAGGGTCCCCCTCCCGGAGGGCGAGGAGAGGGTTCAACTCGCGGACTCTGAGCTGATGAGGGAGTACAATCTGGCTGATGATGAAGAGGAGATTGAGGATGATGCTACTTCAAAAGCCAAGGAAGACGCGGCCGGGAGCGCCCAATCTTAGGAATTCTTTTAAGTGTAAATTTGTAATAGCAGTAGGCCCCGGCTTCGGCCATATCCTTGTAATGAAATACATTTCAATAACTTTTTCCCGTTTGAATGAATGATCGCCTTCGGGCTTTTTGATGAATGAATTCCTCCGCTTTATTTCATTGTATGAATGAATGTATGCCTTTCCTCTCTTTTGTCTCTTCTCCCGAGGGCCACGACCGTGTGGACTTAGAAAAATTTTCTAAGTGAAAACTTCTGTCAGCAAGCTTTCGGTTGTAGTATAGGTTC